AGATGTGTATAAGAGGCCATTTCAAGACTTCTAGATACGCCACTGCAAACCAACATTTAAAAAAATGTCAATTATAATACAGGTTTGTACACTAAGCTACCAGTATACAATATTGATGACCTTATGACTATGAGGCATAATTATCAATAGAATTACAATTATGGTCAAACTTATTGTGGCCTACGGAATAAGTAACACCACGGATACGGAGAACAGGCTACTGTAAGTACCGGTCATTGTGGACGCCTACGCTTGGAAGGTGTTAAACAGACTTGTTTTTCGTAAAACCTTTACTGAGCATTAACATTGAAACAAGTTGGCACCGTGTTCTTTCATTGAACAATACTCTGACACGAGTAGTTACTCATACCAGTCATACGTATGTGCTTAAAATATCAGTACAATATACCACTCAATACATAAACAAATAAGCTTCTGGCGATGTAAAGTGTTGTGATTTATCTTAATTAAGAACTCCATACCAACATTATTTTCAAGGTTTCGGAGGTTTATTTATTGTCATAATCGATAATGTAATAATAACAATGGAAAAGACATTCAACACTGGCCTTCATGTCGAAACCATATCGCCAGGAAAGAAAAGTCTTCACAAAGAACTTTCGGGGGGAAATTTGAAAACATTTTGAGATTAGGCTTATTAGAACCTTACCAGAAGCATTTCCAAAATAATGTAAGCATACTAACATTGTACACTATGTATGGGTGTGCATACATACGGACAAATATTTGTGGAGGAAAAAGCAATGGACTGAATTACAAGTACAAGAAAATACTAAGGCCTTTTATTATTAGCAAGGTTAATATTTCGTATATTAAACAATTGGTCTATCCAATTGAAACATTTTTCAATATATTCACATTTACATATTATTTATTTATATATTATTATAATGTTTACAGTTAGAACAATTCGCCACATACAGATTGGAACTTAAACTACCGTATATACAAGTGACAAAATACAAAACAACACATAAAAGAGTACAATTGCTAACTTACATATCCTTAACAATTTGAAAAACAAACCTTGTAAATTTATGATAAAGTTAATATAAAATATGGTAGGCCTATAACAGATGTTAAATTCTAAAAAAACACAGCATTTTTATTAATAAAATCGATAGTTACTTGCACTAGTGTACTAGAAGTTTAGTTTAGGTTTTATCATAGAGGTATTAGTGATCTCCTTCTCAATATTACCTCCATCAAGGTAAATTCAACAGGACGCACATCTCCGCTCTCGAAGATAGCGCGTGCGTACAGTCCTTTGATCTTTGCTGTGGCATCGACAATCCGATACTAGTTGCGAGTAACAGCCGTCAATTATTAGTCTATGCGTGCCATACGTTTTATGGTGTTAGTTACTATTTTATTAATTTTGGGTACTTCGCAATGTCTGTTACATCTGATTTCTTTTGACCGCGAGCTTGTTAAAAGCTTCTATAAACTGCAATTTGATTTGTGAAAATTGACCAAGAATATGAAAGTTATAGCAATTGAAAATTTACGAATTTTATAAAATTTCATGTTCTTATGTAACATTAAACTCTCATTTTGACAATGTTAGACTAAGGTGCACAAAACGAACATTTATTAATTATTTCTGCGTGAGTCTCATGAACGACAATACACCACAATTTCGGTAAAATTAATGTTGAAAATGAAGAATATAATTTCCGTCTAATGTTAGTGCAAAATATCATTAGGCCTTTGCAATCACCGCACGACGCGCGGTTATCATAGCAACTAACACGCGCGTGGGTAATTCGTCACGTACGCTGACGGTTTATGGTCTGATTGCTATGGTTTTTGTGACGTTCAGCGTGCAGGGACGCACGTGCTCCTAGAATGTCGATGTCAAAGTTGGTCAAAGTTATAACCTTTGATATACGAGCGTGTGATTGGGCGGATCGCAATCACATGACTTACACCGGCCATGTTGTCACCAAAAAAAGCAAGCTATATATACGCGCGCATGCGCCTGGGCTGTTTGGTAACGACGTAACGACATGGCGTCCATGTGCCAAGTTGGCCAAACTCTCTCTATCTACGGCTCTGGAATTGCCTTGTTTTATTATGTTTACAATGCACTAGAAGCCCCAACGCATAACACATGCAACTTAGTGTCCGCAGTTGTTTGATTGGCTATAAAGGTAGCATGGAAACGCAGCTTGACAACCAACAAAACGCGAGTATCATAAAATATGTTTCATATATTCTACAATTGTCAGCCGTATTTCTTATTACTTTATCGACTACGTCGCCCATTGGTCATATTTTTGAGATAATATGTGGTAAATTTCTCAACAGATAATAGGCCAATATTTTTTTACATAAAATATTAGTTTCATACTTTAAACGAACCTTTTATGTATTATAATTATGATGAGCTGTCGTTGTTGAGGATATTTAAAGTAGGTCAAATTTAACCTACAAAAATCTTGAATCGTGAATTAATCCACATTATTGAAGTAAATTCAGAAACTATCATGTTGCATTCATTGATTACCATTATAATAATATTATAGGCCTATAATACAGTTGTATGATTGTTTATTTTCGGCTGCAAATCTGTCCTTTTCTATATCAATTGCTGGAATGTAGGGACATGATGTTACAATAGTATCAAGCCAAGAGCGAGGTTACAAATGACTTATTTTACAGAGTCCTATTTCATTACTTCAAAAGAATAAATTATATATTACGAGGAAGTTTAACCCTGTACTTCCCCTTTATGAGCTATGTCAAGCCACATGTTAAACTGCTGACGTTGAAACCGTCATTGATGTAGTGTTCTGCGCACGGTCCTTTTCCCGAACGCCAGGCCTCCAGCAACACGCAAGATCATAAATTCCTTCTTTAATTCCTGGTAGACGATACCAATATATGAATGGATTGACGAGTGAATTACTCATAAACAAGCAATAAAGTATGTGCAGTACAAATGCATTCTCGTCAACACTTTTATCAACTACTGCTATTATAAAGAAACAGCAAAGTGGAAGCCAGCAAATAGTACTAACAACAAGTAGAATACTGAATGATCGAATCAGCTTCTGCGATCTTCCAACTGCATTATTTCCAAGCTTTTCCGTGACGTTTCGGTCATTTTTTCTGAGCGAAATTGAAATTCTGAAGTACAAAATGTAATTTGCAATAAGTAAGATTAATGAGAGAATACAGAATGCGAGTTGTGAATATTTATTGTATACATATGTGTACACTGCAATAAAAACAGATATCGTGAGAATCCAGATAAGCACACAGACGATAATGCACCGTTCTAAAGTCATCACATTTTTGTAGGTAAACGGAGCAGCAACTATCACAATGTAACGTTCGATTGCCACGGCACTTATGCTGAACATTGACACAAGAAACATTGCATCTAATACTGCAACGAAGACAAACGACTCGTAAAAGATGTTAAAGAAGATTAAAAATGAGAGAATACCAACTGCGAAATCGGCCAGAGATAAGCTGAATAAGAATACATTTCTCTCCATGCGTAATTTTTTCGATGTTAGCACAAGAAATAAGACAAGAGCATTTTCCAAAGCTGCAAAGGCGCCAAGAACAATGTAGAGAACTGATGGTACGTCATGCACATCCGTTTTTCCATCCGCTGTAGTTGGAAAATATACAATTGTAGTACTTTCATAGTTTTTGTCCAACTCCATAATACAGTTTATTCTGTTGTTTTACTTTCTTACTGAAAAAACAAAGAATATTTACAACGATACATTCCAGACATGCATATATATATATATCTGTCTCTTATACACATCTAGATGTGTATAAGAGACAGATGTATGGGTGTCAGTTGAAAAAGCATTTCGAATTTCTGTATGTGTTGATTTGTTTGGGTTTTTCATAGCAGGAAGTCCGTTTGCAATAGGTGCTGTCGCAAGCCTTTTCGTGCCACCACTTAACATGACGAATGAGTATGATTGCGGGAGATCTGCCACTTTTGAAATGTACGGACGCACTGTGGATCTCTTCATTAAACTAGTGACTGTCGGCTTTTCAATTCCTATCATGTGTATACCTGTCTCTTATACACATCTAGATGTGTATAAGAGACAGTATACATACATATATATATATATATACATACAGTTGTTTCTGTCAGCATTTTCAGCAAAAGAGCATGGGTCTGAATCTTGGTTGGTGCGATTTTTCACAAGCGGAGATTCGTCTTCTTTTACCATTTACAACTTAGGATTCCTGATGATAACATAATTAATGTCGAAATATTGAATCCCGTACATTGAATGGCGTACATTTCTATGCTTGGAGTATGTATTATACTATCTTGTATTCATTAACCATGCCACAAGACGGCTTATATATATTATATGTAAGCAGAAGAAAATACATGTATAGATTTTAGAAACACTTAATGATTACAAACCTAAAAACATAATTCAACTCGTTGAAACCACTACAGTATATAACTTTATAAACAAAAGACTAATTTTACGATACATATAATTTCTCTTTATAACTAAGCCTATATGAGTATATATATATGTGTATATATGTATATATATATATGTATGTATATGTATATATTTTAAAAGGTAGGCCTACCATAGGTCTAGTAATGCATATTCATATCACCATTATAAAACAATCTTCGTCCATGAAACGAGTAATTGCCAGGCCACGCTGTTAGTAAATGATGAGTAGGCCTAGATGGTGATTTTATTCTATTTAATCCACAAACCAACAGTGATAAAACAATGCCAATTATTACAGGCTTGTACAATAAAGGTACCAGTATATAATATCCATTAACTTATTACTATAAGGTATGGTTATCTAAGAATTACAATGTACTTACATTATACTTGTGGCCTACGAAGGAGAGACTACCGTATCTGATGGATGCTCGCAAGTCATTGTGGGCTCCTATAGATTTGAACAGACCACTCTTCACTGACCACTAACAAAGCAATAAGGTACCATGTTCTTAAATTGAAATATCAACTCTTAGACAAACAGGGTTGCGCCATTGGGGGGTCGGTCGAGGCCCCATCGAGGAGCGCTGCCACCACCACCCCGGTTAGAGAGAAAAACACAATTTGCCGGGAAGAGGAAAACATTATGTATTTTTTATAATATTAGTAGACTCGAAAATCGATTCAAGTCTTGGAAACCACTAAATTGTCATAATTTCCTGGAGCTTCGCCTCCTGGATCACTACGGAGAGATTTTGAGCGACAACCGACGCCCACTTACGCTCTCGTCGGGAGAGAGTCACACCCTCCCCGTCGTTGAGGTCAGACTCACCGTCGAGCAAATCATGTCGCCACCCCTGGAGACGATTAGTTACTTGAGTGGCGAAAGGATTTATAAATAGATGGAGAATATGTATTAACATTCTATTATCGTTCAGTGGCGGACTTAAATGAGGGGCAGTTGGACAGGGCCCCCTACATTTGTTAACATTATTTCTAAGAAATGGGGAGAAAGTTTAATTGAAGTCTGAGGGTGCATTTTCTGCCTATCTAGAGGGCGCCATAATCATACATTTTTTAAAATCTCAGCCCCAAATATGTTTGGGCTGAGGTGGTCTAGACCCTCCATCTCCATCGTGTAGATACAATGTGAGTATCTAATTAAAATCATTATTATAATATTTATTAATGTTATCAATTTCATCATTATCATTTAGTAATTTAATAATATTAATACCCTAAATAGGGTATAAAAATATAAATAATTTTACAACGGAAGCCATGAACCACTGAAAATGAAGTCTGTGAAAGTAACTTTTTTTCTATCAGATGATGGGATTATTTATATCGCCATTAATTTATCATAACTTAAAAGGTGTGCTAATGAAAATAATCCCACTTATTATTATTATCATTATTATTATTATTATTATTATTATTATTATTATTATTATTATTATTATTATTATTATTATTATTATTCGAAAATAATAATTATGATTCTAAAAACAACATAATAATATATATAAATTCAAAAATTTGTATAGCGCCTGTTGGAAAAAATTATTTGCCACTGGAGCTTACAGATAGGCCTATAAGAATTATTGAATAAACAGATAGGTTTTAAGAAGGGTTAATTGGAAATTATGTTACACGATATAAACATAGAGAAAATAGAAAAGTTCTATTTTCTCTATGATATAAATAGTTCTATTTTTTCTATGATATAAACGTCCTTAAAGCAGTTATCCTTCTATAATTAAATATCAGATAAGACTATCACTCGGCGGCAGTAACAAGCCCTTGGGCACTTATTTTCATTTCAAGGTCCAAGCTTATATTCGTCTACGCATTATTATTATGTCTGAGATATGTGGATTTGTCATGTACTTTTACAAGAATATACTAATTTAGATAAGTTGTAAATTTAATGAATTATATATTCAATAGACCTATATATTAATTCCATATACAGGTTTTTATGTATTTCGGTATACAAATTCCCAAGCTCTATATATTCAAACTGTTAGGCATTGTAATATTCATAGACTACAGAAACATTATACATAACTTAAATAAACGGCGTCAATATATATATATATATATATTTGAAAATGTAATAACATATTCATTATGAACTTCAGAAAACGTTACAAAAAAGAAAATATATATGTTCTACTGATTTCTTTAAGACACAAAAGTAATGTTTGACGAAAAACGGTTGAGATAAGCTTTTTGAATATTGAATAAAAACTGAGGGGAAAGTAACCACACGTTTTCACCTCCGCCTCCCCCATTTTAAATATTTAAGAATCTGTATTTCATTAACCGTTAAGAATTGTTTTTGTCAAACACATTTTTTTTTTTTGGGCGAATGGGCAGATTAATGGAAATACTTGGTAAATTGTGGGGGGTGGTGGTTGCTTATTGATTTACTCATGGTCGTCACTCCAGGTCGAGATCCATAAAAAGTCGTATATAAAGATGTGGGTTACCCACATATTTATATTTACACATGTAAGTAAAATTGTTTATTCAGCAGATTAATCTCACTGATAAACAATTCTACTATATTTGGCTGGTGCATATGAACTTCTATTTAGAGACATAATTTCATTATTTTCTTTCTAAAAACATTATTAAACGTTAACTAGCACCTCATAACGACTTTTGAATGATAAAAATCGGCTCGGTATAACCCATTTTACCGAGTACGAATTTAAGTTAGTGGAACATACTGCTGTTACATCTTCTACTTTTACCCCGCCGTTGTATTTAGGTACACGCTAAAATGAGCCAACAACTTGGATAGCTGCAGAGTTCCGCATAAGTGATTCAGCTCACATCTTTATATAATATATATACATAATTTATGTCTGAGTTAACGCATGAATGGTTTCATGGACCTTCTCAGGACTTTTTTCCTAACCCACATCTTTATATCTACTTTTGCTGAGAGTTCCGCTTGAACAATTCCGTGGAGCTTTTGGTTTCTGTGCATGACATATTTCCAATGCGGGATTTATCTGTTGAGCATAATCTCGGAAAAGAGAAGCCCTGGCAGCTACCTGACTATGGATTTTTTTGTTTTATTAGCTTTAAGCTGCTGGCACCTAGCTACTGAAGCATAGTCTTGCTTATTTTGTATTGTCTGTTTTAGTTTAGTTTTTGTCTTAAAAGAAATAAATTATGGTAAAATTTGAATTGTTTATTTTGTATGTCAAATTATATATAAAAGAATAGTGGTACGGTGGTAGTTTTTATATTTGAAACAAAAACCTGCATACGAAAACGGAAACCCCAAACCAGCACCATATTTATTTACGCAAAATTAAAATAAAAAGGCCTAAGAAATGCTCTCATCAAAGTTTCATAGTCTATCTTCCCTAATTCAGAGTGATTGGGGTTCGAGCGTGAGAAAAGTTCTGCTGAAAAAGAATGAATTATCTATCACGCAGACTATTTACGATGTTCCTCAGCGTAACAGATTGGTCTCAAAGACAATTTTTTGTTAACTCAGACAGTTTGTTACCAACGTCTTAGAATCCTGATTTGTTTATTGAAAATAACTAAACATCAACACCTGAAATTATGAGGCCCAGTCTACCTGAGCCGGTCTCATCAATGTGCCGTTTTCACAACTCAAGCACTAATCATCTGAACGAGGAGAGAACCAATAACTTTTAGGAAGAAAAAAATGTTAGGCCTATATAAATTTTATGTAGATTTAGGCCTATTCTAGTAGTTAACATTACTCCTTACATTAAATGTCGTAATTATCAATTTCCGCCACTATGGTACTAGTTCTCTGAATATTTTTAAACCATTTGTAATTGCAATACAGTGGGGAAGGGGGATTTCCCCGACGAGAAAAACGTGGGCGTGGTCAGTCGTCACTAAAGTGGTCCAGGGGAAACAACGCTTCCCACTCCGAAAATATTAC